TTTTCAAACAAAAGTATTTTATAGCAAAACCTCAAGATACTACTTGTAAATTACTCATACTACTAATTAGTCAATCATTTCATATTTTTCAGTTAGTCTTCAATTAAGAGTAAAATATCTTGAAAGTTAAGAACATTTCATAACGTCACTAGCTCAAAATGATCAATATGTGTGGTCAATACCAATAACACTTACATAATGCATGTTATGTAAACATGATTATATATTTAAATGATGCCAGACAAAACATCATTTAAATACATAACTTATTTAATATTCTCAAGGTACTATTACTACCCCAGGCTAGATAACTTGCTGATATAGCCAATACTAAGTGACACACTCAGAATTCTGACCCACGGTGTCTACTTGGGAGATTGTATATTTAACCACTCTCTATCCCAACTCTTAAGAGAAGTGATTCAGCCAGGGTCTGTTAGGAATTTGAAAGCCATGGTGTAAACTACAAGCAGTCAGTGTTGTCGAATGTGAAAACTTTTTGCTGATATGAAAGTGAATGTGTGAGTTTCAAGCAACTAAAAAGGAAAGCAAGCATAATAAATATGCCAAAAGACTGCACAGTATAAATGCTAAGAGCAGAGATGGTGGCACTTAAATACTTCAGCTGTGATTTCACCCTGAGATTACTCCCATTCAAAACAAACACATGAAAAGCAAACAGTTATATAGAACATTCAAAGTCACACCTTTTAAATTATGTACATCTACCTGAAAGCCACAGCAGCATTCCCCCATAAATTATGCCCAAAGATAACTGTCTCACTAACCTTATTCCAAAACATTAAAGATACTTTATTCTAAAATAAACTGATCAAATTGTTTAAACAATTTTATTGTTTATTTGTCAATAAGATTCACATACCTTAAATTTTAACTCTCCAAATAAAAAGGGGCATAGAGGTTTAACTTTATGATATTAGCCTGAAGTTAGTCAAAAAAAAAAAGGATGACTCTTGGGTCCAGGCTGGTAGTGCAAACGGTTAAGTGCGCGTGCTCTGCTGCGGCGGCCCAGGGTTCACCAGTTCAGATCCCGGGCGCGCACCAATGCACCACTTGGCAAGCCATGCTGTGGCTGCGTCCCATATAAAATGGAGGAAGAGGGGCATGGATCTTAGCCCAGGGCCAATCTTCCTCAGCAAAAAAAAAAAAAAAAAAAAAGAGGAGGACTGGCAGATGTTAGCACAGGGCTGATCTTCCTCACACACACACACACAAAAGGATGACTCAATAAATGTGGATCTACTTTCCTTTGAAGGCGTCTGTGAAAGGAGCAATAGGAGAGAGAGCAATGTACCTCTTCTCTAGAACTGAATTTCAAAGGCCTTATTTGGCCCTTCTTCCACACAGGAAGAACTAGAAAACTTCTTGCCTTCATTTTCCATTGTGAGATCCTAAATCGGAAAATAAGTCTAAGCTATGCAGTTCCCCACATGGTATTAGATGCAGTAGCAGCCATCCTGCAAGGAATGTAGGTCACAATGGTCTATGTAAGTTGCTGCTGTGAACTTCAGTGGCAAACTGCTTTAAAAAAGAAAGAGAAACCTTTAGCACTTCAGAATAGAGCTCAAAATCACTCAAGAAACTTCCTTCAACTGGGTCTGCTGCATTAATGAGATCATAGAACAAAGCTGCTAATTTAGAATTAAATACTTTGGTAAGGAAGGTTCATTATTATAAACCAAAAAGCCATAGTTATAAGACATAATTGGATGTGACAATAAATGGTATTTTTCATATATGACTCACCACTGTGTGGATTAAAAGCAGCTTAAATTAAAACGGAATCCCTTGAATTTAATTAAATGGCTTTAAAAAATGGTTTTAAAGATATTTAAATAACGTAGAAAAACTATGATACATCTATTTTGTCTAGCATGTCTTAAAATCCTAGTAGTTCATCTTCTTTCAAAATTATGATAATTTAAAATAATGACAACTGTAATGTAAAATTAGCCAAAGAAGTAAATAAAACTTGAGTAAACAACCTAAGTTTACCTGGTGAACTTTTTATCAATATTCTTGTTATTCAAATTCTCCTTTTCGTTGCAAAATCTGCTTTAGTTTACCTGATTATGTATGTAGTTTCTGTATAATATGCAATGTTTGAATGAACATTCAAAAATCAATCATCTCATTAATATTTTAAAAATACAACTGCTAAACAAACCATGTTTAAGGTTTTCAGCTATGCTAGTTTATTGGCTCTCCAGAAATAAAACTGCTGAGTCAAGAGTTTCTAAATATTTTTTCAACAAGTGAAATGTGTAGTGAAACCCAAGACACATAGGCACTATACTTAAGGCTCTGAAAATTCCACTTTGCTTACAATGATAAATAAAATCAACCTATCTATTATTTGACAAGGGAAAGAATGATTTCAACAAGGGAATGGTATATATGAATCACCATATTTAGAAGAATATACAACAGGATTACATTTTCCACAAAAGCTAAAACAAGCAATTGTTTTTCTTTTTTGGTCAATGGGAATTCAGAAGGTGAATCAGGTTCCTGTGCAGGCTCTGTGAACATCATTCCCAACATCAATCATCAATGACCCAGTGAAGCCCAGAACTGAGGGTTAATACAGAATGAAAAGATGATTTCCCCTAAATATATCACTTTATATGTGTATATTTCATGAGTTCAGAGCAACAATCTTCCACAAAAAATATAACACAGAAGTTGAGTGATCAGAGACTACCGTGGATCAAATCATGGCAGGATTTAACTGACATCTAGTCCAGGTCCCCATCTTACATACAAATCCATGGCATACAGTCATTTTGGCCTCTTCATAAACACCCACAATTACGGGGCCCTCAGGAGTTCACAACACAGCCCACAGATTTTTGGAAAGCTCAGTTAGAAAGCTCATTTTCTTAATGAAGATAAATATGCTTCATCTTTCAAAAATTTCCATCGATTCATAGTTTTGCCCTGTGGAGTACCACAGGATAGTCAGAATTCCTTTTCTTACTTGATAGCTTTTCAACATTTAATGATAGCTTTCATGCCCTCACTTGTCCAAGTCTTTCTATTGGGTTTTACAGACTATATCTACAACACCCAATTATCTCCCTTTCTTTCTTTTCTGGATATATTCTTGATGCTAGAGTTAGTTTGCCAGGGTCCATCCCAAAATGTAGTGCTCAGAATGAATACAACACTAAAATGTGGTCATCATTGGCAACGATAATAGGACAATTATCCCTCATTAGGATACTATCATTAGTCCAATTTAACAATGCATTAACTTTTGCAGCCACTTTCCACTACAAAAACCAAGCTTGTGGCCACCAAAACCACGGTCATTAATTGTGTAGTGGATTTCTTGAACTCAAAACCAGAACTTTATATCTATTGCTACAAGACAGTATCATGACATCAAATGCTAACATGAATCTCTATATTTGAGCCTCAGATACATCACCTTGAAAAATACCAAGATACTCTATTTGCCTTCCTACCTTAACCCCTATTCTTTATTTTCATCCAGTATTGAGCTTTGTTGACTTACAAGACAATGTTTACATTAGCCTATCTCAAGTCATCAGCTATTAATACTCAAGAACTCCCAATGAAAACATTTTCTTGTGTGACAATTTACATTTAAGAAATTTCAGCTGAGACTTCTTTTTCACTTGTTTACTTTTAAAACTGGTTTTATGAAGAAAAACATCTCCCTAAGAGTGTTTCTTGATAGTCGATCATGCAATAAGATTAAGTGGTTGCTCAAATGCAGGCAATGACATGCTCAATTCCATCTCTGAGGCAGGACAAAGTAACATCAACAAACGTTTAGATTGAGATGACTATGCACATATACATACATACCACACATGAAATGTGCATGTGAGTGCGGAAAACAAGGATAAACTATTCTACTCCAGTTAAAGTGGTCCTCTTTCCAAGAAACTTTTCTCTCACTCTTCCCTGCTGCAGGACCATAATTTTCTTTGAAGCACAGACAGTTACTGAGAGAGTTCTGCAAGATCCCAGTCTTCCTAAATCCCTATCACAGCCTTCAATCAAGGCTCATCTAAACCAGGTTGGAGCTGAGGGAGCCTCAAGTGTAACCAGCTGGCTCTTCTACCCAGCTTCTCCTCAGAAACACCCCCTCGAAATCCGAAGCCAGGGGAGAGTACAACCACAGAGAACTTCCACTCAACGAAGGCAACCTCCGAAGAAAGTACACTCGGGGAACCATTTCTCTCCCCCCAAGCCCCCACGCTAGAACCCGCTCCCAGTGCGGCGCCTTCTCTGCGCACTGCCTCCCGCCGTCCAGCCCCGGGTGAGCGCCTCGGTTAGTCAGTGCGCACGTGACGCGCGGGGCCACATGACTCGGCCGGGGGCGGGGGAGGGGACAGGGGAGTGCAGCAGGGGAAAAGTTAAGGAAGACCCGTCAGAGCGCCCAAAGCAGTCTGTCCCTTCCCTTCTCCGTCAGCTAGCGGCTCAGGGATCCTAGGATATGGCTGCGGATCAAAGCGTCTCCAGTCGAGCTCCCGAAACGGGGGGCGTAGTTGCCCGCTTGCCCCGCCACCCCCTGCTCGTCCCCGCCCTCCTGGTGATGCCGCTGCACCCTCAAGTTGCTCTTTCCTCCCCTTCCTTCCTTCCCTCCCTCCCTCTTTCTTTCCTTCCCTAAAAGTGCTTCATCCACTGCGGGCGATGCCACTGACGCACATTCAATTTGCCCCGGGAGCTCGCCCGCACCTCTGAGGGCAGACAAGGCCGAACATCTTCCCAAGGGGAGGGTGTAACTGCGCAAACAAAGTTGCACGCCACACCGCCACCTGCCCCTCCCTTCCGTGTAGCCCCCCATTCGGATCCCCTGCAAAGCTCGCTTGCTCTGCCGGTATTCTCTCGACCTCACCCCGCCATAGCGCAACACACCCCCTTCCTCAGGCGAGCCCACCCTTCCACTGCGCTCCGAGCGGTCCAGCCGCCTGGCAAAGCACCGAACCAGCCGCTGCGCTCACCTTGCTTGACACACTTGAGCCGGAGGGGATCCTTGCAGTGTTTGATCACGGCCAGCACGTCCCTGATGGTTAGCCCCGCCACGGGGGTCTCGTTCACTTCCAGCAGCAGCTCCTCCGACACCAACTTGCTGCCGCTCTCATAGGCCACCTTGCCGGGCTTCACCTCCCCCAGGTAGGGGAACTGTCCGTTCTCGGCGCCCCCCTTCAGTTCAAAGCCCAGCTGGCCCTCCGGGTTCCTGCCAATGACACTCTCATGGACTTTGCTAGTCCAGTGGCTTTTCTTTTTCAAGCTTTTGGACATGGCAGTGGGGTGAATCGCCTCAGCTCCTGAGGGATTCCTCTGGGGTAGAGGGGCTGGTGTGAGAGAATGAGGATGGACGAGCGAGGGGACCAGGACGTGAGAAGAGCAGACTTTGCTTCCTCCCCCTCTGCTCGGTGCTTTCCCTCTTCTTTGGATGGAGTGTGGACGAGGAAGGGGGAGGATGAGAGGGACGGCTGGGCAGAGGTAAGAGAGCTTGGGTGAGGTTGTGCTGTCCCTGGAATGACACTCAAGGCTGTGGCCCCGCAGCAGAGGAGAGCTGTGGCGGCGGCGGCAGCCTGAGCGAGCAGTAGCCGAGCTGGTGAGCGGCTGGGTGGGGGTGGGGAAGGAGGGTAGGGATGCCGGGGGCCACTCCTGCGCGCGGCGAGTGGGAGCGCGCGCACCCTGGGTGTGTGTTGTTAGCTGATATCCATGGCAGCTGCAGTGGCAGCGGCGGGGTCCGTGTGTGAGTGTGTGTGAGTGTACTAGTTGTACTGTACTGGCAGGAGGGGAGGGGGCAGAGGAGGAGGGAGCTGGCTGGAGGGGGAGAGGGGCGCGCGCGCGCCGGGTGGGGAGCCGCTTCGCCGCTGTCTCGGCTCCCTCCCTCCCTCCCTCCCTCCGCAGCTTGACCCGGTAGTGAAGGCGGGGAGAGAGAGGCAGGCTGGGTCCGCCTGGCAGCCTCCGAGAGGAGGCGGGAGCGGGAGAGGAGGGGAGCCGAGACCCGGCGCGGGGAGGCCGGCAGGAAGGGCTGTGAGCCCAGTGCGGACCTCTTTTCGTCCTCGGAGCGGCCGCGCAGCGCGCCTGGCTGTGCGCGGAGGACGCCCTGACCCTGCGACGCGCGCTGGGCTGGACAGAAGTGGCGTGGCCTGGACGCGGGGCGCCCGGTGCCGGCGCTGCGGCTCGGGGTCCTGCCGCGAGAAGAGCCGAGCTGGTGGTCCCGGTGTGGGGTTGCGGGGGAAGGCCTGGGCGCGGGGACCTGGGGGGCGCGTAGGAGTTCACTGTTCTGAGAGGCTTTGTCTCCCCGTTTGGTCAGACTCGTCGCCGAGTGCTCAGAATGCCCCTCCGAGGAGCGGGAAGTTGGAGAAAGAACTGGTTACCCTGCAGCGGGGAGGGCGACGCAGCATCCCTTCGCGGTGCAGGCCCAGCCCGGGACAGGAACTTAGCGGAGGGGCGGAGCTGTCTGCTGAAAGGCGCTTCCAGGGGCCGAGGGGAAGGGGCTTCGTTTCTCCGTGTCTGGAGAAGCGGGGAGAAAGGGGCTGCGGGTCGCGGTCCGAGTCGGGGAGCGGTTGCAGTAAGCAGCCGCCTCGGAGAAATGGACCGTTTAACCCGGGAACTGCGGCGGAGGCGGCAGAGGCACGCCCTCGCCCAGGAAAGCCCGCAGACTGGGGCTTGTACTTTGGGAAGAAACCTTAGGATGACCTGGCCCGACAACCTCTTGCTACAGAGAAGGAAAAGCAGGCTCCAAGGGTGAACATAGCGGCAGAACCAGAGCTGGAACTCAGCTCGCTGGCCCTAAGCCGAGCCCCTTTCCCTTCACGAAGTTTCAGCCAGGAGAAGAGGTGAGGACAGGGGCGCAGGGATGCAGGAGGGCTGCTGCTTTTCACTCAAACCCTGATTCCAAGTGAGATGTTAGGAGTGGTTTTAAAAACTCCTGTAACTGGTAAATGGATTTCATTTGCTTTACTTTCAAATGATACGTTTAAGACAAAAAAAAAAAAAAAAGTTGCACACCCACTCGAAGCAAAGCTTGAAAAGCACTATGCACTTAGGATTCTTGGTGTCTGAGATGAAGACGGTGTGGGAGGCAAACAGTGCAGTTAAAAATGTGTAGTCGACCCAAACAAAAAGACCAGGTTTGAATTCAGGCTCTGCTACTTAGCAAGAGTGTGATCTTGAGTAAATTGCTTGACCTCTCTGAGCCTCAGTTTCCTTATTTGTTGAATAGGGTTAAAAGTGCGGATCTGATGGGACTGTGAGAGGATGAAATCAGGTCATGCATGCAAAGTGCTTGCCTGGCATAGGTGGGTAGGCACTCAAAATGGTAATTTCCTTCCTTTTTCCCTCTCCAGTATAACTCACTGTTTGGGGAAGAGTGGGATCAAATTTAGTCAGAACTGGAAAAGATGTTAAAGAAAGATGATTTGTTTAACCATGTGTCTTTTTTTACTTGAGAAAACGGATCCCCAATGAGTTGGCTGCAACTGATGAGAATTCTTCATTGAGCCAGGGGCAGCGCCAGGATTTGAAAGGAGAGCTGCAGGCAGTGCCCAGGAGTGGGCAAGGCTTTTGGTAGCAGAGCCCAGTCTCACCCAAAGAAGTTGGGTTTTAGCATTACGAGACATAGTCCTAGGTGGAAATTGACAGTGAGAACTGAATATGTATTTTTAAACACCAATTACCAACTAATGTCTGTGGGTAATACTGATGTTTATCAGGTTCTAACCGCATGCCATATATTATTCTATAGGCTTTATATATATTAATTTATTTATTCTGGCATCTTAATAAAGTAGGTACTATCATCATTTCCTTTTACAGATATGAAACGAGGCATATGGAGATTAACTTTTGCAAGGCTGCAAGTTTAGTCAGTGGTGAAGCTGATATTCAGACCCGAGTGTTTTGGCTCCAGACCTGGTCTCAGTCACTGCATTGTGTTCTCCCCCCATGCACTTACCATGTCATACCAGCGATCAGTACATAGGGTCCCCAAAGGTTGGGTCTGCATTTTATGGCAGGGGTAATTAGGAAAAAGAAAACAAATGGAGCAGGAGTTTGACAGAAAAGCATTTTACCCTGGAAAACCCAGGAGAGTCAGTGAGGTGTGTGCCACCTAATTTAGTGCTTCTCAGCTCCTAATTCATCCTCTTTGCCCTGAATTGTGATTTTAGAGCTGGAACCTGTAAACATTTCTTTGTTGTCAGTTGGCACAGTGTTAGGACTTGTCAGTAGAAGGTGCTGGAGGGACACTGCATATAAAAGGGACTTGTCGTCTTGGTTCAGTGCTTCATGCTTTTATGATGTGGTGGTCATTGGATGGCTTTCTGGTCAATAATGTACAAGAAACCAGTGTTTCACACCCGCCGGTAAGTTTGGCTGGTTCCCCAGTATGTGGCTTCCCAGAAAGCCTACTGGCATCCCAGTGAGTGGCTTCCTAGCAAGTTTCACTGGCATCCCAGCTGGTTGCTTCCTCACCAGCCCAGTCTGTGACACCTCAGTGAATTTCTTGCCATCAAGTTGGCCATAGCCACATTAACTCCACTGAGGTCTGTCTCTCAGGCTTTGTAGGGCAGAGGTTGGGGATGGGGGGGTTCTTCTGTTATTCCTTTCCAAAGCCCTGGAGGTGGTGGCTTCTCCCTAAACCCACTATTCCTGTATTCTTTAGTGTTCTCTTCTCTCTTAGTAGTCACTCCCCTTTTACTAGTTAGTAATACTTTGTATTAAATTTTCCTTGTTCCAGTTATAGTGTGATTTTTGTCTCCTGACTGGACCTTGACTGATACAAGGCATAAAGGGATCATGTAAAACCTTGAGGAGAGCACTATCTTGGGAGTCAGAAGTGGAGATCCTGCCTTTACCTGTGCAACCTTGACTAAGTCATTTAACCTCTCAAAGCTTGTTCCCTCATCTGTAAAAATGGGGCAATAATATATATGACAAGGTTGTGTGAGCATCGTGTAAAATCTGAATGCATTTTAAATGCACATAAATGTGAATACACTTTAAAACTGTAAAGTGCTGTCAAAGCTAAAGGTGTTAATTATCAGTATAGGAACAGAGTAGCAAAGAAGATGGAGATATTTTCTTTAAGAAAAAAATTATATGTATTCTGGGGACTTGTTAGATTGTTTCGTGGGGGCGGGGGAGGGGGACAGCATTTCCTGTGAGATTTACTGTCATCAAATAAATATATCGTTTGTGGTTTGGTTGGTTGACTTTGCCTAGCTTTTCAGAGATGAAAGCAAATACTTGCAAATCTTAAGTTCAATTTTCTAGGTCTATGAAAAATATGACTGGAATTACCACCATTTACGACCATTTTGAAAGGCTAGATTTAGTCTAATTTGGTTGCTTTCTATTCTGGTCTCCTTTGCTTTATTTCTCCTTTGTCTCCTTTACCCTTTCTGGGTTTGATGCCTGTGTCAAGAAAGAATTATTTCATCGCTGAGCACTCAGTGTGCAGAACATGGCACTAGATATTGCATGCTATTGCAAAAGAAAAGTAGTTTAGAAATCTTAAAAGCTAAAGAAAGAAAAGCATGAGTGCATTCAATCCTTAGAAGAGTTCTATGAGGAGGAGGCTTGTGGCCCACCCAGTCATGCTCCACCTGATCCCCTGGGATCCCTTTGCCTGGGCCTGGGTGCCCTTCCTCCAGCTTCTGTACTTTTTCACTTCTTGCAGCCAGCCCCTGGGACTCTCTTTGAAAGACTGCCCGAGGGCTACTGGACTCACTTTGCCTCCAGGCACAGGGAGCCAGAGAGAATCACCTGGGAGTTTACTTCCTTACCAGGACGCGGTTTGCCAAGACTGCTCTATACACTATGAAAGCCCAGCCCTGTTGCCTCTAGTTGTAAGAAAATCTGAGGTGTAATTTACACCCCAAGACTCCCCTGCTCTATCATACTGATTCTAAGATTTTGCCTGAAATTGCTTCCTTCCCTATCTTGCTTACTCTGGTAACTAATGTGTTTTTCTTGGAAGCCTTTCCTTAATAAATCACTTGCACACAATCCTCATCTCAGGGTGTGATTCTGGGATCCTGGTCTGAGACATTGCTGTTCCTTTTTACAGATGAGGAAACCAAGGCTCGCGTATTTTAAATTGCCTGAAGTCACACTACTAGTAAGGGGTGGAGCTGTGAGTTGATCCATGTCTGTGTGACTCTAAAGCTCTCCTAATGCTGGGTTCCATTTAAAGTCCCTAGGACCGACTATTTTTAAATTCACTGTCTGAACAGAAGGAGACACGAAACTCAGCCATTGATTGATCTACAGTCATAAAAACTGTATCCCTATGTTAAGAGATCTCTGTGTTTAAGGAGGAAGGATAAGAAACCATGGGCAGTAAGACCAAAGTGTGGTGTACCTCATCTAGAAAAACCTTATAAAGAGTGAGCCTTGCCTACCCAGAGGTATGAAGACAGGTCCCACATTTTGGCAGAGGGTGTAAACATTCAGTGTGGTTTTCAGTCAAGGGCTTCTTCATGCTAAGGCTAAATCCGGTATTTGTGTTAACTATTGCTTCTGTAGTAAATTACCACAAACGTAAGGTTTAAAACAGCATAGATTTATTATCTGCAGTTGTGGAGGCCAGAAGTCCAAAATGAGTCTCGCTGGGCTAAAATGAAGACATGGGAGGGACATGTTCGTTCTGGATCTCTGAGAGAGAATCCTATTCCTTGCATTTTCCTGCTCCCAGAGGCCACCTGGACTCTGGTTTGTGGGC